TTCAGTAAGAAATTTCACAGACATTTTATGCATGACTGTTTGTTCCTAATTTATTTACTTTTTTACGGGTACCCAGCCCGGAAAAATGGAACCGGGTTTTGAAATCAACGGGCGGGTACCCCGTACCCGTGTACCCGGCACAGGCCTATTTAAAAGTGCAAATATTTCCCCGATCGAATAAGAGGTTTGCCGTGTAAACTGCAAATAGACTCAACTGGTTTGAGCGCATGGGCAGTACTCCATATAGTATCACTTGATAGAGTCCCAAATCCGTTATATTTAATCATAACAATCCTCAATCCTCTACTTTCAGTATGATAACCAGCCAGTTAAGACTCCCGTTAACTCACCACGGTTTTCCGTTTTCAGTTACCAGTGATGGCAAACCACCAGCAGACAGTGACATCACTGTCACCGTGTATCGTAAGGACTCTGTGTCTTACGAGCTCTTCGTCAGCATGACAGCTTTTGCGTCCGTTGGTATCGCTATGGCTTGTGGCTTCTTGGCCTTCAACATATTTTACAGGAATGAAAGGTCAGTGACAGGGACTCGGGAAAATATGGTTAGCTATAGCACTGGCTCAGGAATGTGCAGAGGAGCTCATATAGCAAGATTCTGAGGTTTTCAAAATGATTTCATCTTGTTTAGTTTTGAAAATGAAACTATTGCGGATGTAATGGATATTGTGGATCTAATTGACCCCCCCTCCAACTTTTTATTGTTGGTGAGTTGCTGCTGACTATTTCTTTGTCCTCAGGAAAAATACATGCATGAGGTAGCAGCATATTATATTTAAGTTGACCTGACGCATCCATTATTTTGTTTCTTGTACTACATAAGTGGAACTTCAAGTACACAGTCTAAGTTTTACGGTCTCGCGGTTTTTTGTTTTGTAGAATTTTACGGAAAAGGTATTTTTTTGGTCAAGATTTCTTTCTTCTGCAGCTGTTTCGGACACTGGCCGAAACAGCTTTAGTTTTTCTCTTAATTTTTGCGGAAAAAAGGAATTCTTTTTGTTCTTTTTTTGCTGTTTCGGGATTTTTTTCCTTTTTTTCTTAGCTTTTTCAGTCATGGGCCGGAGCTGTTTTTGTTTTTCTCGTTTTTTTTTGCTTTGCTTTTTTGAAATTTATTTTTGGCTTTTTCCCAGTTTTCGAAAAAGCGTTTCTGTTCGTCAAGATTTTTTTGGGGGGGGGTTCTTCTTTTTTGGCCAAAAGCCCATAGACTCTGCACACTTTTTTTTTTCTGTGCAGCACTTTTGCCATTAATCTTTGTCGCATAGCATCCAAGATTGGCATACGCATAGTCATTATTGCATAAATACATGCCAAAGAGCGACGTCATGATGACGCCATCGTGGGTCATATGACTTCATCACAAACTCCATTATTTCAGAGCCCGATATCTACAGAACGGTATGTCCGATTTGGTTGAAACTTAGTATGTTATTAGACCGGCATGTGGTCTAGATGCAATTTGTCATTATGTATTCGTGACATCATCTTGCGATTTTATACATAATTTTAAACTTTTGAATATATTTTCAAACATTTGAAATATCTCACTAACGCAATAACTTGTATTAGGTTCGTTGAGCAATACATAAATGTGCAAAATTTGGAAAAATGTGTGACGTCATGATGACTTCATAAAAAAGGTTTTTTTGAAACACGCATAAGGGAAGGCCCAATTGTCATGGAAATTGGTAGGTAGGTAGATAAGAGTACCAGTACACAAAATCTGAAATGGTGTCATTTTAAAATTATTTTTGAAACTAAAATTTGTATCTTGCTTATCAAATTTCACATTTCTTTTTTTGACTCAGTACTGGTACAAGGCGAGAAGATAATAAAATTATGTGAAACTACAAGTATTGCTATGATGACGTCGTCACAGGGCATGTGACATCAACATTGATATACATCTTACAGATTTGTGGATAATGAATGTTTTGCAGAACGCTAGTTTGCATTTCAACCACACGAGCACTTCCGTTGCCGAAATGTGAGCTAACATTATTTTCTTTACACGCACATGGCACACATGGAGAGCGCTGCTTCTGTTCCAAACATGGTCTTTCCTAAACGTTGGTTTTTTAGCCGGTCGTTTCCGGTCGAAAATTGCTGGATATCGCAGATCGCTAGTAAGCATCATCATCAGAGAGAAGAACACCTTTGGCATTTTTCGGCTTTAGCGCGTGTGAATCGACCAATGCCTTAAACTCTAGGGAGCTGTTTACAATTTTCAGGCCATCAAAAATCGCTTTTGGAGTTCACGAATGGCAAAGCCTACTGGTAGTGTAAATATATATCTATCATAGATTTAGCAGTACAAAATATGAATATCTTGGGATAAGTGGTTTTTCTGCGACATGCCGTTCTATAGGGGTAGTTTTTGGGGTCTGAGCATTGAAACGCCGCACCACACGCCACGCAACCGAGACGATACACATGCACCACACTCGGCGCGGCTTGTCCGGCCCAAAGCCGCATGGCTGATTTCCGGCTATGCAACCAAGACGCAAACTGCAACGGAGACGAATAGAAACATGTCAAACGAAACCATCTCCTAACACCAAGGCAAACGCACACCGGCCTGCAGACGATTGGCAAAGTTTGCCGACTGTCTGCGAGCTGCGTCGCGTAGCCTCCCCGCCATACAAACATAATATGGTTAATATGCAAAAATCTGACAAGCACTGAAATGCGTGAAGCTGGAGTAGGATTTTGCGCCAAGAGGCTGTACAGCCAACATAAAAGAGCGTTTTCCGCGACAAATCTCGGAGTTTCGGGCGCCATTGTGTTTAATTTTTTCAGTGGGGTAGGGTGCAGTCTCCAAAGGAGCAGACTATTCGATCTGGTATCCTGAATACCAATTATAAATGTACGTAGAATTAACATCACTCAGACTACTCATTAAAAATATCCAGATTTCTTTGATTTTTTAATGATCCAATTCCATGGTAAGAGTGGGGCACAGGATGGCGGCCAACGATCACCATGGGAACAAGGTTGCCTTTTTGCAACTCTGTAATTAGTCTGGTTCCCTGCCCAAAGATTCCCTGACGACTCTTGAAAAAATTCTCAGGTTAGGTATCACCCGCGGAAATAAATAGATCATGACTCAACATATGGGGGGGGGGTACCAGGGGGAGCCACTCTCTCCGAGATATTCCTAATTCCTTTTTTCTAAATACCTGTATGCTGTTAAAGCACCGCATAATGAATCATACCTTGATAAAGGTAATTTTTTCCGTTTTTACAAAAATTGTTTGGATTAGAAGCCTTGGAAGTAAAAAATCTGCGAAAAGGCCCTATCTTCTGTTGCAAACAGAACCTCTCGTCTTTTCTTCTTTTTCAAATTGTTGCTATTGACATAACACAGGGTCGTTCTACACACCACTTTCGGTCCTTACTTTGGGGTTGATTTTCTCCAAACTTGGCACATTGTTAGACTACCATCTGAGACGTATGCCGAATCATAACGTCATGACGTCATCACCTGATTTATTATAGAATTTTGAATATTTAATTTTTCCCATATATTTTGTTTACGTTTTCAACGCAACATTTTGGTTGTTCAACAATCATCAAAGTTACAAAAAAAGACCTCGGAGCAAAATAATACTATTAAAATTACGTCATGATTACGTCACCAAATGATTCATTATTAAATTTTGAATATTCAAATATTACGTTAATGTTGTTAAAATCCATATAAAATCAACCGTGGCCTCCCAAAACATTTTGTGTGCGGCAAGTGCCAGGGTGAAATGGGACCCTTCCTTCCTTCCGGTTGAAACCGGAAGTGGGTTTATTATTTAAAAGTGGTAATGGGTATCAAGTTGTTCTTTACGGTTTTGTCGGTGGGGGTATAGTATTCTTGAAATCATCTACTGATGATGTCGAGTAATTGTCGAGCGCCCTCTAGCAACAGAAAAAAATTGAAAAATGAGTTTTGAGTAGTGTTCTGGGGCGAAGTCTGTCGCAATCACCTGAAAATTGAGGTGGATGAAAAAGTCCTTTTATTTTTCAAAATTCGGAAAAAAAATCAACTGTATCAGATTGAAGAGTGAATTATCCATTTGAAGATAGCTGAAACATTGAAGTCAACTGCATGAAGTGCATAACTGGTGTACGTCTTCACACAGATGAAGTGCTGACGACAAAATCCCGCTTTACAATATGTATATGTATGTATAGGTATGTATAATATGTACGTCAAAAATTGTGCATTGGCTATTGTGTGCGTGAGCGCATATCTGCCTGTACCCTCGGCAGCGCACAATGCGCAGAGCTGGCAAAAGGCCAAATACGTGGCGGGGAAAGCGTGGGAGCATGTATTGTCATGCTGTACTGTAACAAGGAGGGTAGTGATCCTCCTTGGTACAGTAGAACATGACAATACATGTCATAGATATTTTAAATTGCGGACTTAACGACAGCTGTTCGATTCCCGCCGGTTCCAACTTCCCTTTCCATCAAACCAAAAGTGTTTCCCGAAAAAGCTCAGTATTGATCTACTAGTTATAGCCAATAAAGACCATGGTACAAAATACGCCAATTTTATGGCGTAATGATGACGTAACCTTTCGGTTTTTTTCAAATTGATTTTTGAATATTTTATTTTCCCCATAGGTTTTGCACAATTTGTTTTTTCAACACGCAGATTTCAGCAATATTCTCTATGTAACTGGCTATATATTAGGTGCAAACTTCAAAGCCTTTTATCTCGTGGAGTACATGTCCAATTTGGTTAAAACCTTGCAAGTGTTATAAACAAAAAGGGACCCCGTGTGATGATGACGTCATCAAGTGGCAAATCACGTGACATTAAAGCTCTTTTCAAGCAGTATATCTAGTGAAGTAGATGTCCAATTCGGTTCAAGCCTTGGAGATGTCCTGAAAGAGGAGGGCTTTAGACAAACATTGGCCTGATGTGATGATGATATCATCATGTGACAACTCCCCAGACATTAAATTTGCACTCTTCAAAGCACTTTATCGCGTGAAGTAAATATCCAATTGAGTTCAAACCTTGCATATAGCTTGAAAGGGAAGAGTGTTACACGATCATTAACCTGATGTGATAATGACTTCAATATGTGACTAGTCACATGACATGTAAGGCACATTATTTAAAGTCTTATATCTCGTGAACTACATGTCTGATTGGTTTTAAATTTGGTAAGTGTACTAGATAATTACGTCACGATGATATCACTAGGTGTCAAACTGCAAGCGGTTAAACTTTCATATTTGTTAAATAAAAAACCATGATCTTCCGCAGTTTACTGTTTGCATCAAGTTATAGAGATACCTTCTGTTTTTATTTCCTCTCGTTTGAGTAAAATCGCTTGACACTTCTGTCAAAATTGGTCCAAACCGATAGTACTTTATCACTTCAATTTGATAACAGCTAAAAACCTACTTTCAACTGTATTTGTCTCCGGTAGTTTTATATTAAATAGCGCCTGTGCATATACGTCATGTGCATTATTGTCAAAATTTAGAAATGCGAAAAACCCTATGCTCTGT